CAACTCAGGTTGAAGAAAGCAGATGAATCTTGACAGGCAATGTGATGGACAGGCTTGCTCAAGGCAAATAAGAGAGCCAGAGTTAGTGGTGCTTTCCTTTAGTTAATGTTAGGAGAGAGAGAGAGAAATAATAAGAATATAGTTGGTATATAGTGTTAGTGTATATATGTGCAATGTCAGTATATGTATATGTTGGTATATCTATATACAATGTTAGTACATATATAATATTAGTTTATATATGTTAGTGTATATATATGGTATTAGTATATTTATAGCATATATACATACACATTGTGTATTATATATTGTTAGCAAGCTATGCAAACATACATACACACATGTATATGTTCATACATGTACACATATATGTGCTTGTGTGTGTGTGTGCACATACAGATACCTGTTCATATCTGACGCAGGTTTTAAAGCTATCTCTTCCTGACTTCCAAGGCTCGTCCCCTATCCTTTCTACCAAGCTGCCTCTCAAGATGTTGAGAACAAGACATTTTGCTTAGAACTTATCTTACTGGTAACGTGCCTTTGTTTCTCAGCTCATGTGTTCTGTGTATGTGTAGAAAAGTCCGCATCCTTCCTGAGCTTTGTACAGTCCAAAAAATATTTCCTAAAGCCTTTCCCAGTCCCCATAATTCTTGTGCCTGCCCTCTGTTAATTACATTCTGTCTGTTATCTTGTTTATATAGAATTAATTGCATGTTGTCTCCCCTGTTAGTCTAGGAGTGCCTGGAGATCGGAAACTGTCTTTTGCCTCTCTTTGTATCTCCAGGGCTTAGCACATTGCCTGGCACACAGTGGGTGCTTAATAAATGCTTATTGGCTGGCTACTTAGACCTGGAAGGGATGTTAGAGGTTGTCTGCTCTGAGCAGCTCATTTTACAGCTTGCAGAGTCAGGAGTCGATTCCCGGGGTCTCCCCCGGCTCTGGGGAGGGTGCCAGAAGGCTGACTGTCCAGTGAGGGCCTCTCCTACCTGGACAGTGAGGAAATGGCCAACGTCCATTCCGCACATGTTTCCATGAGTGTCCCCGGGGCTGAGGATGAGCATGAAGATGTCCCAAGGAGGAGTCTGTGCTCGAACATCCAGCAAGGAGACGGGCCTCAGGAGACCAACAGGCCTTTTCCAAGGTGTTCTGCTTAATCCTTGAGGAGCAGACAGAAGAGGGACCCTTGTTTTCGCAAAGTCCTGCCAGAATCCTGGATGGGTGCTGCTGGCCACTTGCCTCCCCCTCTTTGGAGGAGAACACTGATCTGGTCTCCGTATGCATTTCTAGTCTCTGAGCCTGAAGCTCTCACCGCCCATGGAGACCTTAAATTAGGCCCCCTCCCTTTCTCTGATTCTAAAGTATCAAGGCAAAGGACTCATTGTAGGCGAAGCTTTGATGTTTTCCCCACCCGTCTTCATGACTCTGACTTGAGAGGTTGGTCAGTCAGTCAGACAGTCAATCAGCAAGTGCCTACTATGTGCTACTGTGTTATGCACCGGAGGGGCTGGTAAATGGTGTGGGGATTAAGTAGCTGCTTATGGCTTGGGTGTAAGATCGTACGTATTGACTTATTTGGTGGGGCCAGGGAGATTCAGACCTGTGATTTCATCAGTGTGTGTCGGGAGCTCCCAGCGTGGACACTCCCTCTACTAACGCAGATCAGCAGCTCAGCCGCAGACCCCTCTCTCGCCGCCTTTCCCCCACCAATGAAATCACAGATCCAGAGGAAAGAACTAAAACAAAGAACTCCTGTTGTGCCCCCCTCGACAGTGACTGTGAAGCTTGAATGAAATTGTGTTTGTAAAGTGCTTTTTAAACAGGAAAACTCTACAGTAATGCCAGACACACTTGCCTAGTCATTGCTGCAGTGGGTGGAGTGTTCGACCTGGAGGCAGGAAGACCTGAGTTCAAGTCTTACCTCAGAAACTTACTAGCATTGTGACCGCTCCCCTTGCAAATCAGTTAGCTTCTCAGCCTCAGTTTCCTCATTTATTAAATGTGAGAAGTAACAGTGCCCTCCTCACATGGTGATTGTGAGGGTCTATTCGGACGAGGTATGTAGGGCACTTTGCAGACCTTTGCGAAGTGATCTGCATGAGTGCTCGCTGTTATTATTATTCTGGGAAAGCTGAACCTGTGGGGTCCTGGGGGATCAGAGGGGACCTGCTTTCTAAGAAGGGACCTTGGGCCCCTTTAGGGGCGGCCAGAGCCTCAGCTCAGGGGGCTTCATTTGTCAGGGAAGGAGCAGAGGACAGTGAGCCCCGCTCGGCCGCTCGGTGATGATGCTCTGCACTCTGGAGATGTGCACATGGATGAAAGATTCATTCACAGAATATTTTTAGCCGAGTGTGAGTCCCAGCGTCCTGGAAAATGTTCTCACAGTTATCAATATTCTGCAACCCCTGGGGATTCGCTTACATGTCACCAGCCTCGCCGTCTCCTTCCGGCTCCACGGGCACGGACGTGTCCTCAGCGCTCACAGGAACCGTCCTTAGGAAGGTGGAGACGGAGCTGAGGAGTCCGCACGGGCTTGGGTCTGGGGAAACCTCTGCTGGGTTTCCGATGACCTGGAATTAGAGGTACAAGTGTAAGAGAGGTCACAAGGCAGCATTCTGGAGTCAGGGAACCTGGGTTCTGGTCCCACTCGTGGCATGAGTTGGTGGTGTGACCTTGAGCAAGTCACTTCCTTTCTTCTCCTCACTCCTTTCCGTCTTTTCCTTTTTGTCTCCCTCTGCTCTTCCTTTTCTTTTTAAAAACTTTGCTGATGCCGTTTGTGTTTTATTTGTGGTTGTTCGGTTGTTCCCGACTCTCCAGGTTCCCATTTGGGGTTTTCTTGGCAACGTTCTGGAGTAGTTTGCCGTTTCCTTCTCCGGCTCACTTTGCAGATAAGGAAACTGAGGCAAACAGAGTGAAGTGACTTGACCAGGGTCACAGAGCTAGTATGTGTCTGAGGCTGGATTTGAATTTAGGAAGATGAGTTTTCCTGACTCCAGGCCCAGGGTTCTACGCACTGTGGCGCCACCTAACTGCCCCTGTTTGTGTTTTACACCACTGTTACCATCTCCTGACCGTATGTTGCCGTATCCAGAGCACCTGCAGGATGCTGTTGGGCATTTAGATCTCTTCACAACCTGGCCCCTTCCCACCCGTCCAGCATTCTGACCATTCTTCCCTCTCCAAACAACTCTATGATCTAGCAACTCTGTTATTCCTCAAACATTACAGCCCATCTCCCACCTCTGTGCCTTTGCACTAGCTGTCCCCAGTGTCTGGCATGCTCTCCCTTCTCACCTCAGCATCTTGGTTTCCCTGACTTCTTTCTAGACTCTGCCCAGATCCTCCCTTCTTCAAGAGTGTTCTCTGATCCCCTGACCACCCGAGCTGCTCGTGCCTTCCCCTTCGAGATAGCATAGCCTTCCATCTGCTCTGTATACAGCTATACAACCCTAGGAAGGAGGTGCTATTATTATCCCCCTTTTACAGATGAGAAAACTGAGGCAGACAGAGGTGAAGTGACTTGCCCAGGGTCCCACACCTAGTAAATATCTGAGGCCGGGTTTAAATTCAGGTCTCCCCTAACTCTAGGCCAGTGCTCTATCGACTTTGCCATGTTTGATACAACCTCAGTCTTTGGGCTCCAGTCAGGAGTTCACTATGTTCTGGTGATGAAACACATGACTTGGAGCAAGAACCTGTGATGCATGTCTGGCTCCATAGGAGGTGCCCCTTTCTGACAGGAGACCGCTCCCTGGACTGGGAAGGTAGACCCAATTGGTCAGCTCTCTTGTGATCAGTCCCCCACCACTCAAGCTACCGTCTTTCCATCTTAGAAGGAGTTTCCTTTTGTCTCCGACAATAAGATTACAAAGATCCTTGAGTTCCTTTGAGATTCCAGTGTCTTAAGTTGCCAGTACCCTTTGACCCAGCTATACCACTATTAGGTCTGTTTCCAAAGGTGATCAGGAAAAAGGAAAGTATATGTTCTAAAATATTTATAGCAGCTCTCTTTGTGGTGGCAAAGAACTGGAAATTGAGGGGATGCCCAACAGTAGGGGAATGGCTGAACAAGTCGGGGCCTTTGATTGCAATGGAATACTACTGTGCTACAAGAAATGATGAACTCAGGGATTTTAGAAAAACATGGAAAGACTTGCATGAAATAATGAAGAGTGAAATGAGCAGAACCGAGAGAGCATTATATACAGTAACAGCAATATTATTTTAAGAATAACTTTGAGGGGGCAGCTAGGTGGCGCAGTGGATAGAGCACTGGCCCTGGAGTCAGGAGGACCCGAGTTCAAATGCGGCCTCAGACACATAACACTTACTAGCTGTGTGACCGTGGGCAAGTCACTTAACCCCATTGCCTAGCCAAAAAAAAAAAAAAGGAATAACTTTGAACGACTAAGTTATTCTCACCAGTGTAAATACCCAAATTAACTGCATAGATCTTATGAAGGAAGATGCTATCTGCATAGAGAAAGAACTGACATGTTTGTGTGTGTGTATATGTGTGTGTGTATGTGTGTGTATATGTGTGTGTATATGTGTGTATACACACACACATATTTGTATCTAATGATAGCCATCTTGGGGGGGAGGGGAAGGGGGAAAAAGAAAGTTGCCCAGTAACTTTGTTGTATATTTAAAAGGAATAGGGGCAGCGAGGTAGCGCAGTGGATGGAGCACCAGCCCTGAGGACCTGAGTTTAAATCTGGCCTCAGACTAAACACTTGACACTTCCTAGTGGTGTGACCCTGGGCAAGTCACTTAACCCCAATTTCCTGGAAAAAAAAAAAGGAATAGCAAGTTGAATATAACAGATCTGCAGTTTCAGGTGGAGAGAGACAGAGAGATTGAGATTCCAGTATCATCCAGGGGTTCTCCCTTATTTGATGAATGTGGTTGCCCACTCCAGGCTCTTAAGTGTGTTCCTAGGGCATCAATTTCAACCCAACACCAGCTTCAATACTAATCTCCAGATGTCTTCCTCTTAGAATGACTATCGGAAGCTCTCCATGCAATGCAAAGACTTCGTGGTGGGCGTGCTAGACCTTTGCCGAGACTCCGAAGAGGTTGAGGCCATCCTCAATGGAGACGTGGATTCAGTGGAGCCAGTAGCTGGGCAGCGCCACAGGGCATCCCTTAGTCGTGTAAAGCTAGCCATCAAGTATGAAGTAAAAAAGGTGAGTGGGCAACGAGTACCTTGCCATCCAGCACCATATTGAAGCATCATCTAGTGCTCATGCTGTGAATACCAGTGGACTTAAAATGAAATAAAAAAAAACATTGGGAGCAATTAGTGAAAGAAGGAATAGTTTCCATTCTATTTAAAGGCTTGAAGAGATAGCGTCTTGGAGTCAAGAAAGTCTGGGTTCAAGTCTAGCTTCTAACACACATGGTTGTGTGACCGCAGAAGGTTGTTTAATCTCTCAATGCCCCAGGAAATTCCCTAAGGCTGCTAGTTACAGATTAGTTGCCTATCTGCATTGCTAGAAGGAGATTCCATCGTGGAAGTTCCTTCACGTTGATGAAATTACAGGGATGCCCCCCCATACACACACAAATCGTCACTCTGTAGCCAACCTGGTAATGATATTAGTAAATTCTAGCTATGTTATTAATATTAATATTGCTATTAGTTAATAACTAATATTAATAATATTACTGCTGAACCTCCAAGCTTAGTGAGAGTAGCTGGTCCTGAGCCAACGAACCTGGGACCCGAACCCCTTCTGCTTGGTAGAACCTGCCAAAGCTTCCACTCTGTCGGTGCTGCCGTCAGAGCCTCGGTTCCCTCCACGCCACAGTTGGTTGCTGCCCTTCATTCTCAGAGAGGAGCAAAATGACATCACTGCGTTAGAGTCCAGTTACGGTCTGTCTGACTGTGGCTGAACAGGCCAATACGGGCTCAGAATGCTCTACCGCAGCTTTGGCACCAGAGGAGGATGTTAGCAGGACTATATAATCTGCTAAAAAGAATTATTGTGATATTTCATTATGGTCGAAGGCCATCAGAGAATTTGGGGGTGGTGAGCTTGGGGGTGGGGGGCATGACAGTTGTGTTCAAGTCTTTGAAGGACTTTTATGTGGAGGAGAGACACTGTGTTTGGTCCCAAGACCCAGAATAGGAGCCCTTGATAGACATTGCAAAGGCCACAAGGTCAGGCAAGCTTCCTAAGAGTCAGAACTATTCAAAATGGATTGGAGTGGCTTGGGTGGCGGTGGGATCTCCATTACTGAAGGCCTTTTGGAAGACTACTTATCAAGAATGTTGAGGATTCCTCCCAGGCCTAAAATTCTGTAATTCTATGAACCCAACTCTTAAAATCCCTCAGATAACTGGACTTTTTTCTGTGCTATAGAAGAGAGTGAAAACACTCTCCCTTGGATCAGGGAATCAGAGAGGAAATCAGAGGGAAAATCAGATCTATCAGAAACAACTCAAAGATGTGTCCTTGGGGTGGTGCCCTTAGATTAGCATATATTAAGAACCTACTATGTGCTAAGCATTTGACCAAGTGCTTTATTAATATGATATCATTTGATCCTCACAACATCTCTGAGAGGCAGGTGCTATTATGATCCTCATTTTACAGTTGAGGAAACTGAGGCAGGTAGCTGTCAAGTTATTTGCCCACAGTCACACAACTGTCTTAGGCTGGATTTGAATTTAGGTCTTCCTGACTCTATTCACTGCCTCCCAGCTATCTGTTAGAAGTATTTCCTTCCATCACATCTGGTTCTGCCTCCCAACAATGTCCACCCATTGTTCCTAATTCTGCCTTTTTGGACCATGCAGAAAAGTCTTTTTTTATTTCCTACATATCAGTCCTTTAAGCATTCAAGGACAATTTTCATGACTCCCCGAGTCTTTTCTAGACTAAACATTCGGAGATCTTTCAACCTTTCCTTCCATGGCACTCTCTCAGGATTCTCCATCATCCTTATCATGGTTGCCCTCCTTGGGATGCTCTTATCAATGTCCTTCCTAAAATGTGGGGCCCAGAATGCAACACGGTGCTGCAGAGGTGGTCCAGCCAGGTGGGGCTGAGGACCATGGGTGATGAGCATCCCCATTCTGGATACTGTGGATCTCTCAGTGATGCCTTGGAAGGCACTCACTGGGGGAATGCTAAGGGAAGCTGTGTGGATAATGGATAGTGAAATGAGCATTAGACTAGGATCCAGAAGATGTAGGTTCTATTCCCAGCTCTGTCACTTTTTGGCAGGGTGGCTTAGTGGGTCAGGAGTTGGCCTTGGAGTGAGGAAGCCCTGGGTTCAAGTCCCACATTGGATACATCCTGGGACCCTGGGCAAGTCATTGAACCCCTCACTGCTCTAGGCAATGCTTTAAGACTGTGTAAGTTGCTGTGAAAGACTTAGCTACTCTGCTCGATGCAGTGAGCCAAGACAGTTCTGAAGGACTCATGATGAAAAATGCTGCTTCCAGGGAGAGAACTGATGAATTCTGAGTGCAGATTGAAGTATAATTTTTTCGCTTTCTTTATTTTTCTTGCCTTTTGAAATGCAACATGGATAATAGGGAATTTTTTTTGCTTTTTTGGTGAGGCAATCGGGGTTAAGTGACTTGCCCAGGGTCACACAAATGTCTGTCAAATATAAGTGTCAAATGTCTGAGGCCAGATTTGAACTCAGGTCCTCCTGACTCCAAGGCTGGAGCTCTATCCACTGCGCCACCTAGCTGCCCCAGGAATTTTTTTTAATGATTTCACAGTATAATTGCACAATTTTGCATGATTTCACGTGAATAATTGATATCATATTGCTTGCTTCCTCAATGGGTAGGGGGGGAATGAGGGAGAAAATTTGGAACTCAAAATTTTTTAAAAAAATATTAAAAATAAATAATAAGTTTGTTTAAAAAAAGACAAGTTGCAAAGAAGGGGCTGACCTGCCTCAGTAAGGGGAGGTTCCTGGTTTAGGAATTCCCTGTACTGTACCAGTGAAATCACAGGTCACATCCCTCTTTCTATCACTCAGTCTCTGGTGGTGCACATAAAACAGCCATCTCTTCCACATCACTGTTTTCCTTATCGTGGTTTCAATATGTCATGGGTCAGCATAAGAAATTAAATAGGAATTTGGGGGGAGTTTTGTGGAAGCCACAGATGACATGCAAAGACCAGCAGATGATGCAGAAGAAGTTCAGAAACTCAGAAATGCATAAAATGTATGTACAGGGTTGTATAATGTCAACATATTTTATCTTTTAATGCCATAATAATTCGGACTTCTTCTCTGGCATGAAGGGAGGGCCAAAAAATTTTGCGCAGAGTTTTGAGATCTCAGGGGTGCTACGCCCCTAACCCCTGCGATGCGGAGAAGATAAATACATGTTGAAGAGAAGGCCTAGTCTGACCCCTCCCCTCACTGGTCCTCTGCCTCCCCCTCCACGTGACAAAGGGTTTGGGCCTGTGTCTCTAAGACTCCCTCCTGCTTTATCAGTCAGCATTGGTTGTTCATTCTCTGGAAGATCTCTTGTCAAGCTATGATTTGAGTTCTCCTGGTGCCACTTTTAAATGCCACGCTCTAGAATAAGCACTGGCCTATTTCCCTCATTGTCCCTCCCCCGCTGATCCTGGGTTGGGGCAGAGGCAATCAATGACTGATTTTTATTCAGTGACCACTGGTGCATATCAAGGCTTGCATTTCCCCGTCAGGACTTCGGAGAGCTCTCTCTCCAGTGTCCCATGGCGTTCATGAAACTGCATTATCATGTTGTTGAACTGGCTGTGAGTTACATATTGAAGATGATGCCTGCAGTTTGGGAGGAAAGAACACGATCCAGGGGTTCTTTGTAAGACTGTGTGCTCGTGTCATGCTTTGAGGTTTACAGAGAACTTTCCCCCCAACGAGTCTGAGAGCTCAAGGATAAGAAAAGTTTGAGCCTCATTTTACAAATGAGGAAACTTAGGGTGAATAAGGTGAATCACCTTGGCCCCAGCCACACACCTATCAAGTGTCAGAGCTGCCTCTTGAACTCAGGTCCTCTAATTCAGAGTCGGTGGCCTGGGCCTTCTGCCCTGCTGCGTCTCTCTTACACATAGTGATTAGTTTGAGAAGTAGTGACTCTATCCGGCACATCCTAGAGCTGAGGGCTTTGTAACTATTTAGAGAAGCATTCAACACAAAGAAAGGTAATGACAAAATAATTTTCCTTCTGAGACTTTTAAATCTGCAAGCTGACTTTTGGTATTAACTTCATAAGTAGGCATAAGTAACTCAGACAGTTAGTCAGCTTGATTAAGACCTCCCCTGTGTTAAGCACTCTGCTGGGCATGGGAGTGCAGAGACAGAAGTCAAAAAATCCTGGCTGTCTAGGAATTCATTCTCTCTCTCTCTCTCTCTCTCTCTCTCTCTCTCTCTCTCTCTCTCTCTCTCTCTCTCTCTCTCTCTCTGTTTCTCTCTGTCTCTCTCTGTCTCTCTCTGTTTCTCTCTGTGTGTCTCTCTCTCTTTCTCTCTTTCTCTCTCTCTCTGTGTCTCTCTCTCTTTCTCTCTCTCTGTCTCTCTCTCTGTCTCTCTCTGTCCCCTCATATGAAGCATATGTAATTTCCCTTCAGCCTGCTACTTGACTTCTTACAATATCATTCTCATGATCCCAAAATCTAGGGTAATTCAGGGGTACTCAAAAATATCCCCCTGGAAATATAAAAAATCAGTAGAATGTTTAGATATTTCCTTATTAACTACTATAGTTATATATCTTATTAATTAATCAACTAGTTTGGTACTTTCCTGGTTTGTTAAACATAATTTATTTAATAGATAATAAATTAAACATTATTTCTTTAGTAAACAGGAGAAATTTCTTTTCCTGTAATTGGTTACTCATCCCTCTATGTATATATCAAAGCCCTTTATTGCTTGGGTAAATACATATTAAAGTAACTGGTACTCAATTAATTAATAAAGTAACCAATAATAACACAAGGACAACTGCAGTGTATAGAGAAAGGTCACAGTCAAAGTCACCTTTGGCTGTCACGACAACTCTCGGCTTCTCACTTCTGCAACCCAGTCCTAGCATTCTGTTGTCTCAAGGTAGCAAATCTCTTCTCAAGAATTCTGTGCTTCCTTTTTGTGAGATAAAAGTTAAAATAATTCTCTAAAGAAAGAAGCCCTCTCTGTCCTTTGTTTACTGTAGCTCACTCAGTCTCTTTCCAATGGAGACAGGAAAAGTTCCTTCATCCTTCTTTATTCTTCATAACATTTTCTTCATAATGTTTTCACCATATTAAAGGTTAACAATTCTCCCAAGAAAGTTTTTCCTCATTCATTCTCTCTCTGTCTCTCTCTCTCTCTCTTCCATGCTTTTACTCAAACCTCACCATTAACTATCTCTTCTCAATGCCTCTGTAGAATCACACCTCACAATTCAACTCTTACTCTCTAAGTTTCCATGATTCCTAAAGAGAAAGTCACAGATTACTGTGTTGGGGCCGGGAAAGGTGTCTTCATAAAGATGATACCTGAGCTGAGTGTTGAAGGAAAACAGAAACTGTTAAGTGGCAGAGTTGGGGTGGAAAGCTAAAGTATTCTGGGCATGGAGAACGACCAGTGCTAAGTCACAGAGATGGGAAATGTGGCACTGCTTGTGAAGGACAGCAAGTCTTTGAGGATGTCTGGACCATTGAGGATGGGAGTAATGACTGTTGGGAAGACTGCAAAGGTAGGTTGGGAAGAGTTTGATATGCCAAGCAGAGGACTTTATTTTTGGTCCTCTAAATAGCAGAGAACCAGTGTAGTTTATTGAGGAAAGGGTGGCCTGGTTATACTCAAGCTTTTGGAAAATCTCTGGTGTGAAGACGGATAGATTAAGATGAAGGGAGAGATCTGAAGCAGGGAAACCAATTGAGAAGGGAAAGGGAAGCAAGGAAAGAGAAGAGGAGGGGAGGAAAGGGAAAGGAAGGCCAGGGAAGGGAAGAGAAGGCCAAGGAAGGTCAGGGAAGAGAAGGTTAG